TGATCTCACTGGGGTCAAATTTCGACGGCATGGTGGAGGTGGCTGGTGCTGGATGAACCCAGATTCAGGCCAACCGAAGAAAGTTGCACTGAGCAAAAAAGGCTTTTGCTCTGAGCCAAAAGCCTTTTTCTTTTTTTTTGTGAGACGAAGTCTCGCTCTTATCCCCCAGGCTGGAGTACAGTGGTGCAATCTTGGCTCATTGCAACCTCCGTCTCCTGGGTTCAAGGGATTCTCCTGCCTCAGCCTCCTGAGTAGCTGGGATTACAGGCATATGCCACCACGCTCAGCTAATTTTTGTGTTTTTAGTAGAGACAGGGTTTCGCCATGTTGGCCAGGCTGGTTTCAAACTCCTGACTTCAGTTGATCCGCCTGCCTCGGCTTCCCAAAGTGCTGGGATTACAGGCATGAGCCACCACGCCCAGCTGCCTCTGTGTCATACTGCCCACTGGCAGAGGAAGATGGAATGTCTGCAGAAGATGGCTTTTTCTGTTTTGTTTTGTTTGAGACGGAGTCTTGCTCTGTCGCCAGGCTGAAGTGCAGTGGTGTGATCTCGACTCACTGCAACCTCTGCCTCCCAGGTTCAAGCGATTCTACTGTCTCAGCCTCCCGAGTAGCTGGAACTGCAGGTGTATGCCACCACATCCTGATAATTTTTGTATTTTTAGTAGAGAAGGGGTTTCATCTTGTTGGCCAGGCTGGTCTCAGACTTCTGACCTCATGATCTGCCCACCTCAGCCTCCCAAGGTCCTGGAATTACAGGCATGAGCCACCGCACACGGCCAGAAGATGGCTTTTATTTGCAAGTTTGGGTGAGGATCGTCTTGGAAAATGAGTAGAAAGCTATTGATTAGAGACCAGCTTTACAAATCGTGGTTCAGTCTCAAGCCAGGAACACAACATGAATGCAAATGCTCCTGCAGATTGGGAGCGACTGGTGGTTACACACTAACAGGCAGACACTGATGAAAGTGATTTTGATCCTGTTTTTCCTGGGTCTCAAAAATTAGATTTAACTCCCAAGGTGTACTCATTTTCATTTCAAATTTCTCCTGTACTAAGGTAGAAAGAGCGGGCCCAGCTGGTGGCAAAATTGTGAAGTGACTGCCTACTCCTTGAGGTGCAGGGGACAGGGGCTGCAAAAGTGTGAGCTCCTCCAACCCTCAGGAAGAGAAGTGGGTGCACCGGCTGCCAGGCCAGGGGCAAGGGAGAGGCGCAGTAAATATCTGTTGAATTTCCTCAAGTCTTCATTGGGCCAGTCTATTAGTCCAATTTCACACTGCTATAAAAACACTATCTGAGACTGGGTAATTTATTTATTTTATTTTATTTTTTGGAGGCAGAGTCTTGCCCTGTCTCCCAGGCTGGAGTGCAGTGGTGTGATCTTGGCTCACTGCACTCCGTCTCCCTGGTTCAACCGATGCTCCTGCCTCAGCCTCCTGAGTAGCTGGGATTACGGGTGCCTGCCATCTCACCCAGCTAATTTTTGTATCTTTAGTAGAGACGGGGTTTCGCCATGTTGGCCAGGCTGGTCTCAAACTCCTAACCCCGGGTGATCCATCCTCCTTGACCTCCCAAAGTGCTGGGATTACAGGCGTGAGCCACCGTTCTTGGCCGGGACTAGGTAATTTATAAACAAAGGAGGTTTAGTTGAATCATAGTTCAGCATGGCTGGAGAGGACTCAGGAAACTTACAATCATGGCAGAAGGGCAAGCAGGCACCTTCTTCAAAAGGTGGCAGGAGGCCAGGAATGGTGGCTCACACCTGTAATCCCAGCACTTTGGGAAGCCGAGGCTGGCAGATCACCTGAGGTCAGGAGTTCGAGATCAGCCTGGCCAATGTGGCGAAACCCCGTCTCTACTAAAAATACAAAAATTAGCCAGGCATGGTGGCATGTCCCTGTAATCCCAGCTACTCGGGAAGCTAAGGCAGGAGAATCGCTTGAACTAGGGAAGCGGAGGCTGCTGTGAGCCAAGGTCACGCCATTGCACTCTAGCCTGGGCAACAGAGTGAGACTCCATCTCAGAAAAAGAAGGTGGCAGGAGAGAGACAGTGTGAAGTAGGAACTATCAAACACCGATAAAACCACGAAATCTTGTGAGAACTCCCGCAGCATGGGGGAAACTGCCCTTATGACCCAATCACCTCCTACCAGGTCCATCCCTCAGCACCTGCAGATTATAATTCAAAATGAGATTTGGGCTGGACAAGATGGCTCATGTAATCCTAGCACTTTGGGAGGCTAAGGCGAGTGGATTACTTGCGGCCAGGAGTTCGAGATCAGCCTGGCCAACATGGTGAAATCCTGTATCTACTAAAAAACATAAATATTAGCTGGTATGGTAGCAGGCACCTGTAATCTCAGCTCCTCTGCTGGCTGAGGCAGAAGGATCACTAGAACCCAAGCGGTCAAGGTTGCAGTGAGCCGAGATGGAGACACTGCACTCCAGCCTGGGTGAAGAGTGAGACTCGATCTCAAAAAAAAAAAAATGACCTAGGAAGAAAATTCTTGAATGAAACAAACAAACAACAACAAAAAAATGAGATTTGGGTGGAGACACAAAGCCTAACCACATCAGCCAGCTTGGCGAGTCTTGGCATCCTGCAACCCGGATCTCCTTGCCCTGGACTAGATACATCTTAAAGTGTGAGAAGCCACCTTATGAATGGCTTCCACAGGGCATGGAAAAGTGGTATGATTTCAGCAGCACTTCTCATACTTTAAGATGCATAAAAAATCACTTGTTAAAAATGTACATTCTGGGCCGGGCATGGTAGCTCATGCCTATAATCCCAGCACTTTGGGAGGCCAAGGCGGGTGGATCACCTGAAGTCAGGAGATCGAGACTAGCCTGACCAACATGGCAAAAACCCATCTCTATTAAAAATACAAAAAATTAGCTGGGCATGATGGTGGGAGCCTGTAATTCCAGCTATTCTTGAGGCTGAAGCAGGAGAACGGCTTGAACCAGGAGGCAGAGGTTGCAATGGGCCCAATCGCGCTGCTGCACTCCAGTCTGGGCAACAAGAGCAAAACTCCATCTCCAAAAAAAAAAAAAAAAAA